AAAGTAATTAATATTAAATATAAATTAAAATTTGAGAACATTATTAACATAATATTAAAAAGAAAAAAGAAAAAATACAAAATAAATATAAAAATATATATATATAGTATAAAAAATAATAATAAATAAAAATTTAAATATAAATATAAAAAAAATATATTAATTAATAATAAAAAATATTTAATATAATTATAATATTTAAAATATGTAAAAATAGAAATATAAATAATATATTAGAAAATTAATATTTAAAAATAAAATTAAATGAATGAGTAAAATTAAAAAAATATTAAATATTTTTAGTAGTTATCAAATTAATATATAAATAATATATATAAAAAAATACATATTAATAAAATATATATATGATTATCTATATATATAATATATATATATATATATATATATATATATATATATATATTATGTTTTATTATTTATTTTTATTTATAATTAATATTTAATTAATATATTTCTCTATTTCTCTAAATATATATAATTTAATATATATATAATAACAATTTAATTTTTATAAATATTTAGTTTATTATTACCTTAATTTGAATCCCTTAATAAATTATTTTTATGACAATAATCATTTTTTAAAAAAATTATATTTATTAATTTATATTTTAGGTTATATTTTTAATTTTATATACTATAAATTTTATTAAATATATAATTATCCTTTAAAATAATTTATTTATATAAATATTTTTTAATTTATAATTTTATTATAATTTATATAAATAATTACTTTAAAATGTTATTAATTATCAATATAAAGAATATTTTATAATTATAATTATTTATTTTTATATATTTCTTTTAGATTTAAATATAAAAAAAATATAAATTATAATAATATTTTAATTTCAACATAAATTTTTAATATATAATCTATTAAAAAACAATTTTTTGCTTTAAAAAATAAGATTTATTATAATATAAATCAAATTATATTTATTTTTAATTTATATATAATTTTAATATTTAATTTATAAAAAAAAAAAAAATGATATTTTGTTAATAATTTCTAATAATATTAATTTAATAAATTTTATGTATTTTATAATTTGTTATCTAAAATAAAGAAACTTTCTACGAATTATAAATGATTAAAATGATTCTTATATATTTATAATAACAAAATAAAAAATAGTAATATTTAAAACTAAGCCATATATAATAAATATTATTTATATTTTCTAATTATTTTAAATAAGATATTTATTTATATAAACAACAAATAATTGAATTAATAAATAGATTCAAATAAATAAAAATAATTTAAAATATATTAAATGCATTCATAATTTATATTATTAGTTTTTTATAATAAAAAAATTAAAAATTTATAAATAAATCTTGAAAATATAAAATAAAGATGATACTATTATACCATATTAATACCAAAAATATTTATAACATATTGAATTACTAACAATAAATTATTATAAAAATTATAAAAAAATAAATAAATTATATTATAAATTATTTTTTTATAAGTTGTATTAGAATAAATAGTATTTTCTACTAAATTTAACTATATTATAAAAAAATTATTAAAGATAAATTAAAATGGTTTTATAAAAAAATTGATAAAAATAATGTGATAAAAATAATTAAAAAAAATGGATTTAATAATTAAAAAATATAGAAAATAGTAATAAATTACAAAAAAAAAATTAGTTAAAATATTTTGTTGCTAATTATATAATATAAAAATTAAAAATAAAAAAATTAAATATGTAAAATAAATAAAAAAAGAAAATTGTACTAAATAAAATTAAGCAAAATTATAGTAATAATGATTTTATAAAAATGTAAAGAATTGAAAAATAAAATAAAATATATATTTAAAAAATATATTTAAAAAGAATTAGAAATAAAAAAAAATATATAATAAAAATATTATATTAATATATTTATATAAAAATAATATATATAAATATAATATATATATATATAAATATATTTATATATATATATATATTTATAGATTTATTATAAATTTTTGTTATATTTAATTATTAAGATTATTTTTTTTTTATTAATTTTTTTTTTTTAATTCGTTAAATAAAAATTTATAAATAATATAATTTATAAAAAAATTATAAATATTTATTTTACTACAATTATTATAAATATTCATTTTTTTGTAATAGGTGTATTACTTGAACAATCTTATCCGAAGAATCCTTTAGCGCAAACACATTTATTTTTTATGCAATATCCGTTAGTACTACAGAAATTAGGACATATTTTTTTAAACTTACAAAATTCTTGTATATTTTCCGGACATTATACAAATCCACTATAATTTTCTACTGTTTTTTATTCTGAATTTTTATTACAAACGAGTTTTACTGATTCTATATATATATTTACTTATTATCCATTAGCACTACATTCATATTTATAGCATTGACCCTTAATTATGTTTCTTTATTTATATCCTTTAGCCAATAAGCTTCCGTTGAAACATCTCGAATCAGTACCAAATTTATTTCCATTTGATTTTGTAATTTTGCTATCGTTAAATGGACTGTTTACATCAAAGCATTTTGCATTGTCGTAGACAAATAAATTATTGCAATTAGAATTATTATATAAACCAGTTTTACATTCAGCAAATCCATAATGGTGAAAATCACATAATGCAGCTTCATTTTTAGGATCACAATATTCTCTTAATTTAATATCACATTTACCCATGACGTATTCACACCCTTTTCCTTTTCCATAAAACATTTATTCTTCCATTTAAGCGTTTATTTATTGATAGTAGCCTGTATCTCTTAGAAGATTAATTGTAAAACCACTAAAATAGGCTTAAGTAGATATTACAGATGCATTCATATATTCGTTTTGGAGGATTGAGTTTTGCCAATGAGATTTTTCAGAATCTTTGCCTCCTATATTTTAAAGAGGCATTCCGACTAATGTAGGACATCCGAAATAATCTTGAGCAAACTTCAAAACATTAGGAGTTTATAAGAATAAAGTATCAATTCCATTTATTTATTTTGTAATAGTAGGATTAGTATAAGGTTTTCCCTTAGAATTTACCCAATTAGGTATATCAAGGTCGCTAAAACCTAATATATGAGTTATTTCATGGATAACTATTTCAACTAAATCTTCAAATTAAATATTATAATCTTTATCGAAATTTGTTTATATTTAACTTAAATTGAAGTTAATTAAACCATGAGTAGGCCCAATACCTTTCACAAATTAGCACAAGTATGCAAAGGCTTAATATTCTTAATTGGGATCATTATTGTATGATATATATAAATGTAAATCAGAATTTTTTGCTTTAGTTTTGTCATTTTAAGGCACATCAACTAATAAGCATTTAGAACTTTTATATTTCATATATTATTCAGATTTAGGAACTATTTTTATTAAACGAGAAAAATATTCAATTGCCAATTTTAAGGCTTTCTCACAGATATCAACAAATTTTTAAAAAGATTAAGGTAATTTATTGAAATAAGACATGTCATAGGTTATTATCATATCACGCGAATTTTTTTTAAGCAAATTACGTAGATCTAAAGATTCGATATCAGGTGTAATTTACTCTTATTTGAATAATTTTTTCATTTAATCGTGAACACATTAGTGTTTTAGGACTTTTAGATTAAAAATATATGTTATTAATAAAAAGGTTATTATGAGTTTTTTCATTTTTTTTTTGTTGGATTTTTTTTTTTGTCTATTTTTTATTAAATATTTATATATTATTTAATATTTTTTAATTTAGAGTTTTTATTTAAAAAATAAATACTAAAAATATCATTATAAATATAAAAAAATATTTTACAATGAATAATGATAATAATATTTAATAAAATTGATAATTATTAAATAGTATATAATTATTAAAATTATTAAAATATAATAATATTAGATTTATTTAATTTTAGATTTAAAATTTTTAATAAATTATTTTAATTAATTAAGATATAAATATATAAATAAATAAATATATAAATATTTTATATTATTTATATAAAAATAAATTTTTTATTTAAAAAGTGACTAAAATAAAATTTTATTAATTTATAAAAGAAAATAAAAAAAGATTAAATCTTATTTTTGTAAAAGTAAATTGTAAGAATAAATTAAGTTTATACTATTTAATATAAATAATACTAATAATATACTGAATTATATATATATATATATATATATATATATATATATATATATAAATATATTAAATATATATATATTCATTTATTATTATAAATATTTTTTTAAATTATAAATATTTATATCTTCTTTTATTATATTTTTAAATACTTATAAAATTAAAATATAAATTAATATATTTATAAATAAAAAAAAAAAATTATTTATAATTATACTAATTTTTTATATTATTAGAAAAATGATAAAAAATAATTGATAATTTTTTTTTTAAAAAAAATATATATATAAATAAATACATATATTATTTTTATTAAAAAATAAAATTCTAATCAAAGAGATAATTTTAATTATAATTATTTTGTTTTTAAATATTAATAAAAATTTTTATTTTTATAAAAAAATAATATAAAAAAAAAAATATATGCAAAGTCTTTAATAACAAAAACATATTTAATATATAAAAAAAGTATATTTAAAATTAAAGTTTGTATTTAAAAAATATTAATATTTATAAAAAATATAAATAGTTAAATAAATTATATTTATATTGTTTTTTTAAATAAAAAAAAGAAATAAAAAATATTTATAAGAAAAATAAAATTATCAAATAATAATAATTAAATTATAAATTAAAAAAAAATAATATATATATTATATTTTAAAAAATTGTTATAAAAAAAAAAATATAGAAGAAAAAAAAAACATAGTTTTTAATATTTATATATAAAAATATTAATTAAGAAATAATAAAAAAAAAATAATAAAAAT